CCCACGTGGGTCCGGCAACTCGCGTCTGGGGTTGATAGCGGCTTGTTTCTGGGTTGGCCCTCTGTGAAATCGTGTGCCACGGGTAACTCCGCGCACTGCCATCCCCTGGTCTCCGACTCTTCGCCCCCAGCGCTGGCCGGCACCCAGGAGCGGCTATCGGCAAAGCAGCCAAGCTGTCAGACGCGCTTCCCCACCTGTGACCAGTGGCTGGGAAAGTGAATCCAATTGGTGTTCCCGAGCCGGGAGCAGGGGTGGAGTGGGGCGCGGCTCTCCCGATCCCGGGCAGCGCACCTGCCTCCTCGCCCTCCCCCACCCCACCCGAGGGCGCAGAACAAAGGTGCTTTGTACCAACCACAGCCACCTCGTCACTCGGCCGTTGGGGCTGGGGCCGCGTGGGCCCCCTCCCAGATCCAAGGTGTGGAGTGGCAAGGGCCAGGCGCCAACCTTGAGGCGGGCATCTGGAGCGCCAGCTGAGGCTCCCTGGGAACAAGGGTGTCCCACAGGCGCTCTGTTCTCCCCTCGAACTATTCCGAGACGTGCAAAGAAAAGGGTGGTGTGTGTAGGCGGGAGGCATACGTCGTGGAACCTCACCCGAGCCTCCGTTTCCCTATTTTATATTTTAGTCTCCCTAAGTTTTGTTTTGTTTTTTGAGACAGTCCCACTTAGGCTGGTCTTGAACTCGGACTCTAGCGATCCTCCGGCCTCAGCCTCCCAGGTAGTTAAAACTACAGGTTCCGGACACCGTGCACCGCTCCCCCCCAACTTCTAATAAGTCTTTCTACCTTTTACTAACGCGGACTCGAAAGACGAGCCTGACTCCCTCAAAAGCGCTCCGAGGAATGCTCCCCTGCCCCGCCCCTCGCCGAGCGGCCGCTCTGGCGAACCTGGTGCAGGCGGCGGCGCCCCAAGGGTTAAAGACTTGGCGCAGAGTGCAGAGGCGGAGACGCGTCTTCATTGGTGGAAAGTTACCCAGGGGCGTGGCCGGGAGTGCCGTGCCCCACCCCCTTT